TTAATTTTAATGATAAAGTGAATGTGAATTATGAATTTCAGCAAGCTGGAAAAGAGATGCTTTCATCATGCAATCACTCAGGTTTTAGAACTCCATATGATAATGCCTGGACTGATACTTTTCTCCTGAAGGGAGTATATGGAAATGCTCTCCAATGATAAAGAGGAAAGTGTCCAATCCAGCAGTATTTATTTAGGATGCAAGGGAAGGCTTCAGGCAGGCCACTTCAGCAGTTACTGTTCTTTTATTTGGCATCCTCACACTATTTTCCTGAGAGAAGAATCTCAAGTGTTGTGACTTTGCTGGCAAAAATTAATTTTCTAGCTTGCAGAAAGCAATTATTGGTGCCAGAAACCCTGAGTGACCTGTTACACCTTTGCAGCTGATGGCAGGCTGCCATTTTCCATGAGAGCAAAATGGTGTTGGCGTGTGAAACTGCACAATTCAATCCCTTTACATGGTGACCTCATACAAAAGAGGAAAATGTCATTATAGGAAGAAAAAATGCTGTGGAAGAATGAATCCTGTGTTTAATAGAATGTGCTCTTTTAAAGAAATGTTCTCTGCAGAGTATTTTAAAATGCTTCTCTTTTCCTATATCCCCTGTCTGTTCCTTCTTGGCATCCAGGGGCAGCTACTCTGGCTCTGCTCACAATCTCACCATTGTTGGCATAAGAGCCCTCTCCTGAGGAGAAAATGCCATCTGAAAGGGTTTTCCTGTGCTCTTCTGCCTGATCAGCTTTTCATTTGCTTTCAAATATCTAATCAAAACTTCTTCCCTCCTTTCCTTTTGCCTTTTAGTTACATTCTTCACTGTCATCAATGAAAGGATAATTTATATAAAGAATTACTGAAATATTCTGAGATTCTGAATTTCAGAATTATTATGCCTAACTGGAATGGGCTGCCTGGTCATTTTTACAACCTTTAGTCTTCTGCCTCCCTATGTTCCCTTGTACATATGTGAGACCCTCACTGAGGACTGTTTACTGTTCATCATTATCAAACATTAGAAAAATAATCCAATTTCTTCAACTCCATTCTAATGTCTGCTGCACCACCTAACCACCCAGCACAGGGAATAAAAGTAGAGAATGAGAAGCACTACTGAGAGCAGATGTAGCAGCTGCCTTGCAGTTAAGCAAGACTTAAAGGGACTCAGAAGTAGCATTTGTGAAAAACTTTCAGGTAAGAGCAGCAGTTACAATCATACTTTGAAATAAAGACGAGCACTAAATGGTTTTGAGCAGCACAGAGGTGGCAGCACCTGTAAGAAATAACACCACCATCTCTATCAGTGGTCAGTGTTTATTGCATTTACCTATTGCTGTTCTGCTATGATCAGGGCTGGAAGGGGAAAAATAAAAATTCTACCAGAAATATAAAACATAATTCACTCCAGAAGGTGGTGTTTTTTTTGTGAAAAAGTAAATGGCTTCTGACACCTCAGTATCCAGCCTGGGGCATCTTCACATAAACAGTTACCAACGTTGTTTGAAAGTCCTTGAAGTTAGAGAAAGGCATTTGTAGACCTCAGTGCTACATAAAACTGAGCAGGACATTTGCACTTACATACCACTAAAGATACATTTAGAGTGCTGTCATCCACTTCAGAAGTACGCCTGTGATCAACTTGTGCTTCAGATGTAACACCTACCATAAAGAATTTGTCATGAAGGGAATCTCTAGTTTCCCATGCCAGACTTAAAACATTTTTGACTCAGTATCTTTTTCATAGTTGTTTTCTAAAGAGTATTTCTGCTTCCTCTTCTTGGGAGGACAGAGGAAGCAAGGGGCACTGTTCCCCATTTCAGCCACAGAAATAGAAATATTTTACAAAAGAAAAACTTAATGGTAAAACCATAAAAGGTGCTAGAAATCTCAGAAATGTATATAGTCACAGCTGCTATTTTCTATTTCTGTCTAAAGTTTAGTTGACCCTGTTCCAAAAAAAGGAATATAACGGTCTTTGTCCCGCCACTATACAAAAAGAAAACTGGGAGATTGAAACAATGGTCAGATTAAGAGGACAGATCATTAATCATCTTTTTGGTAGGTGACACAGTATAAATCATGCCTAAAAGAGTAAAAAAAAAAAGTATTTCAGGACAATTATTTCCAGAAACTCTGGATGAAATAGTCATTAATTGCAGTGAGACAATTTGATGCTCAATACTGATAAAGGCAAAAGAACTTTTTTTTTTCCCCTGTCAGATAACTCCAGAGTTGAAACTTCTAACAACTGCATAACATTTCAAATTCAATACAACCAGGTAAACAAACTAAATTGTTGTATACATTACATTGCTGTGTACATTACAGATTAACACTTAATAAATTATTTAGTGAATTCAATTTGCTTTTTTTCTCAGTGCCTGTCAGGCATGTGAAACGCTAGCAGCATTATTAACTTACATATTTCTATGTGAGTTCTTTCTCCACTCTTTGAAAGACCAATAAGACAGCATTTTTTCTTTAGCCCAAGTCATCTGCTATGTTAAAGCTATGTATTTGGTCAAAGAGCATCTTTTTCTGTGCTTCAAAAGAAATTAAATTCTCGTGCTATGTAATTGCAGAAAGAGATTGCAAGGAAAACTGGATGTGTCCTGGCACTTCTTTTCCTTGCATCTTGTGTTCGAGCTGGCAGGGTTCCCTGTGACCACATGCAGCAGAACTGGAATACTGCTTTCCATGAAGAAGGCATTGGATACTAAATGTGATCATTCTGAGCCAGAGGAGAACTGGCCTCAACACGCAACTGCAACACAAATACTTTGCAGAAAAGAGAATTTTGATACCAGTTTCTATTATATAGGTGTTAGTTCAACTCATAATTCAGACACATCCTTAACAGTTATCATAGGAGTTGTCCCAGGTAGGTTCGACAGGACCTCTCAAGTTACTCTGCCTGTGTATAAACCTAGTAAGAATCTGGAATATCTGCTGTTATATCCCCTTATCAACAGGATTTTGAGCTCTCACACAAAAGGTTCCTCAAGAAATTCTGATTCAGTGGAGAGCTCAAGAAGACCCTAAGTATACTACAGAGCCATTTGGATTGACTCTAAGCCCAAAAAACAAACAAACACAGAAACTGTTTTAAGTTGTCTGATGAATCATGACCTAAACACAACAAGACATCATTAAATAATATAGGTTGGTAGATAAAAAGATAGATAGATAGATAGATAGATAGATAGATAGATAGATAGATAGATAGATAGATAGATAGATAGAAAATAGTTTGCTAATATTAGATGCTTTGGTCTGAAAAGCTCCACAAAGCATTAGAAGAGTATACAATACATCCCTTTTTTCTGTTATCTTACAAAAATCCAAAGTACCAGAGGTTTGAAAGCATACTCTCAGATGAACTGTTTCAAAAAGAGTATTTTGGTTTGTTTCCATAGCAGTGTAGGTATTATGGAGTAAGGAGTATATCAAAGTCCTGAATAATAAGAAAACAAGTGGAAGAATCCTTGTTTTGTCTGTTATCCTTTTTCACAGAAGAAGCTCAGAATGCTCCCTAGTGCTCTACTGTTTCATATACTCACCTTCACCCTTCCAGTTCATGAGCCTGAAGCTCACAAAGGTTGATGTCCTACTGGGATGGGTGAGATCAACAATGATCAAATCAACAACAATCAGATGTCTTTTTCCCTAAATGGTTAGCAACAAAAATCAAAACATCTTCCCTCAAATGGGATAGCCACTTAAGGTCTCCCAGTCTATGGCTTACAGGAGGCAGCAGAGATTGTACAATGAATGAATTGCTTTAATCATTTAACTTCCTTTCTCAGAGATTTAAAAATTCTTTTACTGAAGAACTAATTTCTGAATAAGGATGAGAGAAGAGTACAGGGAGAGAGCACAGTTAAAATTTTCAGTGATACCTGTACCAGAGTTCTCCAGTGCACAAACATCCTTTATTTTACAGTCATGTAAATATATTTTTATCACTATTTCTAAGATGTTTGAGGTGATGTACCCAACCAGTGCAATTCTGCCAGTGCCAGCAGACCACATGCTTACTCACTCAGGAATTTCCTCAGCATGAGAAAGCCTGGAAAGGAAAGCTGCTATAGCCAAACAGACTCACGGAGCAGTATGTTCTGGGGCTGAGAATAATGAAGCACTAGCAAGCCAGCATCACTGCACAGTTCTGACAAGTAAGCAGTAGCAGATCTTGATCTCAATTTACCTCTACATGCCAGGCTAAAAGATGCCAGTACAGCACAGATTTATGTGCACACCACATGTCCCTGATTAGTAGTATCTCTGAGAGGGCCAGGGGAGGCAGCTGGGGCTGGTAACAGCTTCACTCATTCAATTTTAATTGACTGCTGTGTGTTTGTCAGATCCCTCAGAGCTGCCTTCCTTCTGTTTCAACTTGTGCCAAAAGCTGCGGTGGTCCCATTAGCCACAGGGAACAAACAAGCAAGAAGTACCTATCAGCTACAGGTACAGAACAAAGTCTATACTGCTGTTTGAATTGCATTTTAGATGCAATCCTCACTGAATTTCAAGTTCATAGACCAATGATAACTGTTCAAGCTGCAAATCCAGTGAAATTAGACTCTATTCACACAATTAGACATTAAAGCAGGCTTTGATTCAGAACCTTTTTGCTTAATTTTCATCATCTGTGTTTGTATTTAGTGTCCAAATGTCTCATTGAGAACACTAAGGAAATGCCCATATGTTTCAGTGAGATCAAAACTACACCACTAGGTGATTACCAAACAACTACTGATACAGTTCTTTAATGGTATGCAATCAATCAAAATACTCCAAAGAAAACAAAACAATGACAGTGATATTTTATGCATTTTTTACTTTCTGTAATGGTAACAAATTACTTAAGTGAAAGCTTGAGTAAAATGGGTCCAGGTATATATCCATGATTTCTCTTGTAAGACTTTTTTAAAGCACATATAAATAACTGGTAATGATAAATGGCAAACAGCAACACTGATGAAAAAAAGGTTTATAAATCTTACCTCTGCTTTTATTTTATTGTCTCCGAAACACAGATGTTGTAAGTAGGCTGCAGCATTTGACTGTACTGAGGGAAATTGATGCTGTAACATCTGTATAACTTCTGGAAGCTCTGGATCCCGCCATCCAAACTCTCTGTGTGAAAGTAAACATGAAAGATTCATCAAAAATTCTGCTATTAGTGGATAAATGTGGCAACAGTTGGGTCAACAAAGAACACAGAAATGTCTAAGCAAAGTCTTGATTTCCCCCCCCCCACTATTTTCAAAGCAAACATTAAATCAAATAGGAAGATATTTTTATTTTAAACTGCAATTCTCTGAAAAAAAACCACCATAAAGTATAATAAGAAGAAATAGCTTCATGGAATTAGTTCTCCTACACAGATTTTCCTAAATAAAATGGCTATATGAATTTATAATATAAGAAAAAAAAAAATATATGCTCATACTATTATCCTTTATTAAAATGAAAATATGAAGGCTAGAATCAGAACCACATATGGTTTGCTATGAAATGCTACTTTGTCAAAAGGTCCTTTTCAGTTACTGCAATCTTTATGGGATACAAATTTCTATCTTGTGTAGAAAGCAATGACCAATTTTGTCTTTTGGTTTATTTTTTCCAGAGAGAGTCAATGTAAAATTCTTACACATTTCTGGCCCTCCTTGAGTAGGGAGTTGGACCAGATGACTTCCAGAGGTCCCTTAAGACCTCAGTCCTTCTGTGATTCTGTAATTTTACAATTACACAATATACACTTATACATTGGATAACTTTTAAATCTTCATTTCTTCTACTCTATCCAAAGCACCTAGTCAAATGCAAACACTCAGTGTTTGCACTTTTTGTTAATCCTACAAAATACGAAATTCCATTAGCATCACATGGAAGAACTGAATCCAAGTATGTTGAAAAAGTCTCTGCAGGTATTTTGCAGCTTCTAGACCTGAACTTAAAATCAATCTGTCACTTCAGGTAATTTTTTCCCCTTTGTATTATAGGCTAAAAATCATTCATGAAAATGGCTTTGGACTTTGTGTCCCAACAGCCAGAGATACACGCAGCTGCTCTGCATGATATACTTGGCTATCACATGCCTTTTCCCCAAGTGCCATATAAATATTTTTACCATCTTTCATCTGGTGCTACATGTTCAGGCTAACAGAGGGAAATTAGGGAGAAGAGGTGACTTTGAAAAGTTCTCTATTGCAGTTACCATGACCACCTGGGAGCTTATTGCCAAAAATGACCTGCAAGACCTGTTTTCAAGCTATAACACTTGAAAAAATAATCTTGATCATCAGTTTCCTTCCCAAATTATAAGGGTTCTGCTGCACTGAGGCTAAGTATACATCACTGAGGGAATTCAAGTTATCTCTGCAATCTGCCCCAAGTAAAATCAGGCACACTTAAATACAACATTTCTCCATGACACTTTTTGGAAACAAGATTCATTTTGCAGTAATAATGAATTGCTACAGAACATAGGGATTGACTGTTCTCTTGTCATATGGGACATCTGCCAGATTGAGAGTTCTCATTACAGTTTGTATGTCTATGAAGATTCAGAATATAAGTACGGGATGTAAAAAACACACTTAGAATTTCATTGGTTATTTCTCTTCTGACAAAGCATACGTTAACTCATGATTGTTTAATTTCACTAAGCATTTAATATAAAGAGATCATGAAGATGTAATAAATCACATATGAACTATTTCAATAAACCTTTAGATAATATAGACTGTTGGAAGCTTCTACAAGAGACATCTGCATAGATTCAGAAAGATTTAATATTTCATTGATATATTGAAAACTTAGAGAACATTGTAAAAGGTATCAGGGAAGTCTAGAAACTTCACTAGCCTACGATGGCAAACACCACCGTTTCCTTTGTATACCAGCTTACCATGACTCTGTTAATAGGTGAAAAGAAAGGGATTAATTGGTTAAGCACTTATTTCTGTTTAAGAATGGGTAGTACAAACCCATAAACAAATCATTAATTCCCAGAGATAATTCCCAGACACAATGTTATCTGACATGTTAGCTTCCTCATGTATTTGCTTTCTTCCAGTTAACCATGTTAACACTTGCTAAAAGATTCTTCAAACCTATTAGACCTGCCTTCTATATAAATGGCTCTCAGTAAACCAAAGACATATTCCAGAATTTTTTTAAAAATAAAAATAAGAAATGAAAAGCAAAATCCACCAGCCTTACTGAGGGAAAATTATCCTACCTCCACTTCTAATTTATTCTCATTTTCAATCTTAGATGCCAAGTGCAGGTGTCAGTATTTTGGGGAGGATACAAAATACCAGACTAAAACAGCTTTTATAACAAGAAAACAAGAGGGAACTTTAGGAATTAGTTGCTTTACAGCAAATAACCACATGTCAAAGTGTTGGAACTTCTATCACCAAGTTCTCTCCAAAAGAAAATTTTCTTCTTCACAAAACGTGCATTACTTGAACCAACCAAAAAACAAACCAACCAAAAAGCAACTGAACAATAGGCCTGTTAAGTGCAGTAGTACATCACAGGCCCTGACAACCAGCTGCAAGGTTCCTCTTCTTCCTCTTTTCCTGGAATCCAGGAAAGAAGAGGCAATGAGGGGGAAAAAGGAAAAAGGTCCCTTCATCAAAGGTACAGTTAATTGTTCTGAGGAACCTGCAGTCTCCACATGGTATTTACATGTGAAAACAAGGCTCTCCCAACTTTTCCCCTCTGATCTCCCAAAGCAAAAGTCAGCAAATGAGCAATGTATGAATACCTGTTGGAAATGGTTGTGTACACATTGGATGTAAGTAGAAAATTAATTTAGAGAAGAAACCTTTAGCACTGAATACTGAGTTTGTTATGTAACCAGTTTCAAGGGAGAAAATGAAAAAAGCAGGAAAAAAAATTTTAAAATTTAGCCCTAGTATGCACTGTCATTTTAAGCAGATGGTCTCTAAGATGATGATATTTTTAGAAGTTTCTAAATGAAATACAGTAGCTATATAAAACAAACAAGAACTTCTGTCAACAGTTAAGGCTGCTTGAATAATTGTGATAATTTTAGCAGCCTTCAGGGCAAGAAAGACTAGTTTCTAGGGGTTTAAATTTTTCATTTGTTTTATACTAGTCTTTTATAGGTGAAAAAAAAGTGAGAATGAGAAAGAGGGGGCTTTTTTAAAAACAGGAGGCTTGCAGCTCTATTAACAATATTTATTTTAATTTTTTTTAAGTTAGTTTCATTATGAAAAGTTAGAAAGGCTACTTAATGAAGTCAACTGTCAGAGGTCTGGAGAAGGGAGAAGGACTGGAAATTCTTAAAGACAAAGGCACAAAATGTATCTGGAATATTTTGCACAGATGTGGAGGAATGGTCAGGCTATGCCTCCAAGTATACCTATATGACAAAAAATATGTTTTAAAATAGAGAGCCAAAAATAAGTAAGAGAAAACAACTAGTAGAGAAGTCAAGAGCTGGAATAAACTGATCTTTGACTGCCTACCAACAAAAAGCAGTAGTAGGCTGGTATTTGACAAAGATAAGTATCAGATTAAAGGAAAGGAGAAGGATAATGAAAATCAAATCTACCTCTATTTTTGTGAAACATCTGATATTGTGCCACACGAAGATTAGTCAAATGGGCAACATATGAGAACCTAAGCCCTAGTAAAATTATAAAGTAGAATTATGCAAAATTTCAAACTGTAGTGAATATCCTAAACAAACACTAGCTAAGCCCACGTCCCTTATTAGCATCCCCATGCTTTCAAAAACTGAGTGAGGCAATCCACACAGATGGTGAAACAAGCCAGAAGGCTGGAGTAAATCTGAGGAGGTGCGTGACATTTTGAGAATGTTAACAAAGTGTCTGTGTGGTTGATCCAAAAATAAGGAGTAAGGTAGTATCTGTACGTGCAAGGTCTTCTGCTACTGCCTATGATTTCCTTGGAATAACAACACCAATCTGCTCAGGTCAGCTAAAGGCTTGTGATGGTGGTATTTTTCCACAAGAGTATCCAAGCTGTGCAAGAACTTCACAGTTTTGTCTGGAAAGTGGTATTTGGCATAAACTCTTAATATTTTGGCAGGTTGTCAAAGTGCAATTTTTTCTCGGAAGCATTCTCATCAGAGAAGACTGACCAGAACACATCAAGGTGTCCTACCTTCTTTCTTTTATGGAAGTTATCTTTATGTTATGTTTATGTTTATTTATACTCTAGGAATGTAGGATTGTTCTCATTTTGAATCCTGCAGAAGATTTTAGGTTGAAGTGGTGACTAAGGCAGATGTTCCATGGATTACAGCAGAGAACTGTTCCAGGAATGGAAGAGGACCCAAAGGGGAAGCTGTATGTAAGCTGGCAATACGTATGCCTAGACTATCACAATAGGCTACATTTTATCTGTGAACAACTGAAGAGAATCAACAAGGAGCTGTACATGAGATACAACAACTGATATAGAATCAATACCACATAGAAATCCAGGGTGATATGGGTACTGCAAGTAATGCATTCAAACCAGTTTGTGCTCCTGCCATCATATCACATACACATGTCAGAATGTAAAAGAGATGCAGACTGTTAAGCAAGACAGCTCAGTGCACTGGCTATGTGGGGTCAGTTAAAGGTGCTGCTGATTACAAAGTATGTATTGTGTCTGAGTATTTGCTTGAATTATGCCAGAGTTTTCTTCTTCTGCTACTGAAACTGCTGATGACACACAGAAAAGCAAAAGCAAAATTCCTGTTCCATCAATATATGCACTGATTTTAAAAAGGCTACTAAAAGGTCTCCAGCTGGTAACTAAGGATAATGATTGCTTTTGCAAAGCATTAGAGAAGCAGGTGTGATGGCTCCGTCTACTCTCCAGCCATTGGTCACAGCGAATCTCACGAAAGTTTGGGTTCTTATTTCTGATTTATATTATTAGAGCAGAATATTCACATCTGATCAAGCAGTTGGCACAGGCAAACACTGACACCCAGAGCTACTCCTGCCTCAGCAACATTCCCCAAAGGCAGTGCTGTGAAGATGCCTGCTATGAAGACCCATATGCTTGACAAAGATTGAACTACCAAGTATTTGTCAAAGAAAGAGAATGCACATTTTCATGACAAGACTGTATGTTTT